GAGATAGGGTATCAAGAACTATTTGCCCAAGCTGGCTTCGAATCACGATCCTCTTGATCTCTGCCTCCCGAGTCTCTTGATCTCTGCCTCCCGAGTAGCTAGGATTACAGGCGTGAACCACCAGAGCCAGCCTGAAGTTAGATTCTTATTTTTGGATAGAGCTCTGGTAGGATGAACAGAATGGGCTGCTCAGCTCTCAGGATCAGTGGTGCTCCCTGATCCTGATGTGGAGGGGGAGGGAGAGGAAAAGATTCCCTGGAAACCAGCAGCACGGTCGCCAGGGAGATGTCATTTTTATTATCATCCTCTGGGACTGATTGTTTTTCTTAAAACCTCAAGTATGTACTATATTACCTGTTAATATAGAAAATTTTAAAATTTCAGTGTATTTAAAAAAAAAATCTATGAATAAAGCAGCTGCGTGGCCAAAAAAGAAACGTGAAAAGGCAGTAGCTCATGTGACTTTTGATTAATGTTTCTGGAACCTATTCAGAAACATATTACATGATATACGCAGATGGATCAAAATCTAAAAGTATAAAAGGTAGGACAGCAGAAGTCTCCCTCCCACCGAGTGACTGCAATCCTCATTTTTTTCAGTGTTTTATTCTTCCCACTTTCTTTTTGTTTTGTGGCGACATTAGGGTTTGAACTCAGGGCCTCATGCTTGCTAAACAGGCACTCTACCACCTGAGCCACTTTGCCAGCCCTGTTTTGTGTTAGGTTTTTTTCAGTATAGGGTCTCATGAACTATTTGCCTGGCCTGGCTTTGAACAGTGATTCTCCTTATCTCTGCCTCCTCAGTAGCTAGGATTACAGGCGTAACCACACCACCAATATCTGGTCCCCATTTTTATTAGCACATATAATTATATGAAATAATGGCTTTCATGAGGATATTTATATAATATTTAAAATGTACTTTGATTCTATCCAATGCTTCTGTTACTCTATTCTCTTATCTCTCCCTCGCCTCCTTCCTCTTCCCAAATAATTCCCTTTCTGCTTTCATGTCTTTCTCTTTTTTTAAGTGTAGATTTCAAATTTGAGAGAGACTATGAGATGTTTGTCTTTCTGAGTCTGGCTTAGTTTGCTTAATATGATGATCTCCAGTTCTATTCATTTTCCTGCAAATGACATCATTTAATTCTTCTTTATTGGCCAAATAACACTCTATAGTGTACATACACCCATTTTCTCTACCTATTCACCTGTTGATAGTACCTACGTGGATTTCATAACTTGTATACTGTGCATAATGCTCTACAAGCATGAGCGTGAGGTGTCTCTGCTGTGTGCTGACTTACATTCCTTCAGATATATGCCCAGGGATGGTAGTCCAGGCTGATCTTAAACTTTCAATCCTTCTGCCTCAGTCTTCTGAGTGCTGGGATTACAGGTGTGCACCGCCATGCCTGGCTCATTTTGTATCTTTATAGGTAGACTTGCAGGCCATATTCCAAGAAGTAGGCATCAAAAGGAATGTGCTCCTCACAGCTGGGCAGTACGGCTGGGACTGCAACTTCAGAATCCAGGAGGTCAAGCTTGCATTTCTCTTATGTGAGAACTTGAGTGTCTTTTCAGATCATTAAAAACCACACACCTTTCTGAATTAAGTTAGAAGCAATTTATAAGCTCCAAAATTTACCAGAACTATTTGCTGGGAACACAGGATGAGGCTTCAAAGATGAAAAACAACAAAAAACAAACAAAAAACCCAGTGTAGCAAGCCATATTTGTAACCCAAGTGGAACCAGGTGTTTTGCTCACACCTGTTTATATTTTTTCCTCTTTCTATGTATCTGCAAGATACTTATGAGAGACCCTGAGGGGTCAAGCAGCCTGAAGTCATGGATCTGAGGAACAGGAGCACTAAAAAAGAGCCACCAGGGAACCAGCAGTGGGCCTGGAGCAACCCCTTCTTGCATGCTCCAGGTGAGACCTCATCTTTCCTAGCAGGTGCCATTTGCAAAACCTGCCCTGAGGTTATGGTGTAGACA